AAACCTGTAGCTGTCAAATGGATTCTGACTCATAGCAACCCTACAGAACAGAGTAGAACTGCCCCGTAGGGTTTCCAAGGAGCGGCTGGTGGATCAGAACTGACAACCTTTTGATTAGCAGCTGTGCTCTTAACCACTGCGCCACCAGGGCTCCAAAGTCTACAAGTACAGGGGTTAGAATTCCCACACATATTTTGGAGGGATATAATTCAATCCACAACAGGGGACAAAAAAGCAACCATTTGCATTTTAGAGAATTTGAACAAAATATTTCAGCTGTAATATTCCAATTCACTTAAGTAAAATTCCTGGACAACGTTCTCACCATTTTAATAAAACTCAGTGCTATTCTGTGTTCTCTCTGGCTTTCAAAATATAACATTAAGTTTCCTGTGCATCAACAGTCCAAATGTTACATGAACAGCTATTATATTTCATGTCAAAACAGACAAAGAGGACGTAAGGACAATGTGTATTATTAAGATTAAAAAACAAAAGCAAATTTCAAAGTTTCACTAACCATTAAGGTAGTTCAATGGTTAAGCCAAGCCAACTATCCCTTTGGTTTTATAAAGAAATCTGAGATGTTACTAGATTTGTCATTATCTTGCAGTATGTAGAGAAGACAGGTAGATGTCAGGGGGAGCATGGGAAATGGCATGAGAGTTTAACTTTGTGTTTGGCATAAAGGAGGATTTCTGTCTAACTGTGGTAACAACCTTTCAAACCAATTCCAAAATTAGAAGTAATTTGAGAGAGGCAACTAGTTAAATTTCATGGGGTTTAGGGAAAAAATCAAATTGCTTTTTTTCAACTGCTTTATCATGATTTAAAGAGAGGAAGTGTTTGTTTGTTAAAAAAAAAAAAAGTGATTTTCCAAATGGATCAGTAGTTCCTTATTTTCAACTGTTTTTAACATTGATCATTTCTTGATCATTTATCATACAGCCAACAGACACCTGATCTCTGTCTCTCTCTCTTCCTTTCTCCCTCCCTCTCTCTCACACACACACCACAAACATAAACATATTCCTTCAGGAAACCAGTTACCGTAATATTTCTGAATTCACTTCACTTGCAAATACAAGCCCCATTGTCATGCACATACTGATGATTTGGGTAAGTCAAACCTGTGGGCTTTAGCTTGAAGTGGTAGGCTCTCATCGGCATCCACGAAAACAAGACAAGGAGGAGGCCCTTTCCATGTACTGCAAAGGCCCCATATCAGAGAAAAATCTGTGCACTGACTGATGCTGAACCCAATCTATGCTGTAGGGTTTGCCACTTATGAGTGAAGAAAGATGGAAGGACTGGAATCTGCTCATGTTCCCATCAATGTTTCACATTAATTGTAAAAAAATAAAAACCCAACTCATTGCCATCGAGTCGATTCCGACTCATAGCAACCCTAATGACAGAGCAGAACTGCCCCATAGGGCTTCCAAGGAGCAGGTGGTGGATTCGAACTGCTTACCTTTTGGTTAGCAGCTGAGCTCTTAACCACTACGCCACCAGGGCATAACTGTAAAGACCCAGGGTAACTGGTGCAACCTAAGGCTTCTAAGGTTCCATGGTCACAGCTGCAGAATCTTCTGGATGAGTTCTGTGGGTGATTTTGGTTGCGGTTCTGGCTATCTAATTCTCAGCCTGGTTCTCAATGCTCCCCACTGGTTATGGGAGCTAATTCATATTGATTAAATGCATTTCTTTTGTTCTTAAATTAAAAACAAACAAACAAAAAACACCCAAGTGGTGGGGAGGGAGAGGGGCTTAACGCTTAAGTACTTGAGTCTAGACTCAGACAGACCTGTGTTCAAATCCTGCCTCTTACTGACCCTCTCTTTTTATTTGTACGACAGGGATGAAAACACCCCCAAGGATGGCACCTGGCACTTAGGGAGTGATCGACACCTAGGCGGTGAATCTTACAAGTCGTAAATCACTACGGGAGCCAGCTGCCACATCTTTCTCCCGAAGAGCCGCTAGTGGTTTCGAACCACCAACCTTTCGGTTAGCAGTCCAGCACTTAAACCACTGTGCCACCAGGAAATAGACACTGCCCTGAGCCTCGCTACTGTCTATTCTATGCCAACTCCCTCCCCAACCCCCCAAATAATCCCTGGGTCTTCTCACAATTCAGTAACTCACAGATGAACGCCTGGCCAAACAAGGGGTCTTAGCGCAGCCCCAGCCCTGGCGCCAGTGTCCACTCTGATTTGTGGGTGCCAAACTCCCACCAATTATTAATGTTTTAGATACCACCCTAGCACATTCGTGAGAGGCAGCACATCCCTAGAAAACAGCTTAGGAAAGTGACAGCCTGACAGTGACGCTGCAAATCAAGTTCAAGACTGAAGACAGCACAGTCCTAGCCCAACATCCAATACCTCACAGCAATATACTCCTCCTCCGATGTCCTTGTCACTGGTGTGCTGACCATTAACAAGCTGTAAACTTTTTGTAAATCAGCAGAACCCTTTCAGATGGAGACCTTACTTAGAATACCCATCTATAAAACACAGGAGTCAAATTGCACCATCTGAAGAGGTGAAAAGGCATTGGAGGTGAGGAACCTTTCCAAACCCATCCTGTCGAGTCAGGTCTGATACACAGCAGCCTTACAAGACACAGTAGAACTGCCCCATGGGGTTCCCAAGGAGTGGCTGGCGGATTCCAACTGCCGACCTTTTGGTTCGCAGCTGAGCTCTCAACCACTGCACCACCAGGGCTCCCGAGGAACCTTAGAGCCCCAAAATAATCCAAGGAGACTATTCTTATTTTTTTATTGTTATTAATGGAAAACAAAGATGTATATAAGTATATAGCTGCGGAAAGCTGGCTCAAGAAGTAGGACTTTTTTCATGTGGTGATATGCGTCAAAAGCCTGAAAATGTTTATAGAGAATAATTCTGCTTCCAGAAACCTATCTTAAGGAATAACTCTAGATATTAAAAAAGGTACAGCACAAATTTATACGTATGTTAGTACTACTGTGAAACGCAAAAGCTGCACCAATAAAACAAGGAGCCCTGGTGGTGTAGTGGTTAAGCACTCAGCTGCTAACCAAAAGGCTGGTGGTTCGAACCCACCAGGCTCTCTGCGTCCGTAAAGATTTATAGCCTTGGAAACCCTATGGGGCAGTTCTACTCTGTCCTATAGAGTTGCTATGAGTTGGAACGGACTCAATGGCAATGGGTAGTACTATTTAACACAATGAAAAATTGGAAACTTTAACATCTAATATTAGAAAAATAAATAATTTTAGCATGCCACTTAGTGGAATAGTATTCAATCACTTGAAATACGTCTATAAAGACTTCCCAACTATATGGATAAACAGTATAAGAGTAAATGGTGAAAAGAAAACAATAAGAAGGATATAAAATCTAGAATGCTTAAAATCTACATTAAAAAAAAATTCCTCACTGAAAATAAATCATACATAATGAAAAGTATAAAGAAAACTCTACCAAATTTTAACAGCTGCTTTCCTTGGCTGCTGAGAGTATGGGTTATTTCTTTTCTTTCAATTTATCTGCATATTTCAAATTTTCTAAAAGGATTGCATGTGATTTTTATAACTGTTAAAAATTGAGTAAAATTAAGAAATAATTTCATTCATAGGGGAGGCGGAAAACCAGAAATACATATTTTAGCCAATGTCCAAAGTCCAAAAAATACATAAAAGGAAAGCTTAGAAGAAAAAGAAAGGAAATAGTCTTTCAAAATCCTTTTCAGCACTTTTATACTCCAGGCCTGCTGTCTGCAGCAAGCTCAACTTGAAGTAAATTTGACCAACAGATGTCACTGTTATACTTCTTATTTTGAGCTGCATAACATTACTTTGTAGATTTGCCAGTTGCCATCAAGCCAATTCCAACTCATGGCGCCTCCAGGGGTGTCAGAGTAGAACTATGCTCCGTAGGGTTTTAAATGGCTGATTTTTCAGAAGTAGATCACCAGGACAATCTCCTTTGTAGGTGGTGAAGTCAAAAACCAAAACGTTATACATTTCTATGTCATTTCTGAAGGGTTTGTGGATCTGTCAGGTTTCAGATCCATCCGCAATCTCCGTTTACAACTAGGGTGTAGAATGCTTTTCTAAGATGACATACAGTGACTGTGGTTGTATGATTATGAAAAGCACACGTTCTCCTGCTTTCGGTTACTTGAGAAAATCTCCTCCCATGCGAACATCACAGACCTAACCCAAGCTTGTCAAACACAGTTTGAGGTCTGAAAGTTATTAATTGGAAAAAATTAAAGGAAATCAAGGACACGAGATTGTCAGTAGGCATTAAAGTTAGCAGGTGGCGGCTGTGCTTCTTGAATTCCTAATCCTCTCCCCCATCTCTGACAGGAAGCTGGGAGACCACAGGGGAGTGATGAGAATAGTGACAGTCCCATCAATTCTATCAGGCCATCTTCAACGCGAAGTAGCTAAAACCCAACCCAGTGCTTTGTACAGGGTAGTAAATGCTTCTGTGTCAATGAATACATGAACGAACAAGAAAGGGGAAGGCTGTGTTTTTGAAAAGGATCATCCTGCATTCGGCAGATGTCCTGCTGACCTGTTCACCTGTTACTTGAGCAGCTAGAAAGAAGGAAATATTTATGAACGAGCAAGAAAGACAGGATTTCACTTGACAATCAAGAGCCTATCCGTCCACCAACCTATCCTCACAAATTTTTAGTAAAATGGTTATTAAAAGATGACTAGCGGCAAGTGGGTACTCGCACAAAGAGGTTACACCGTAAAGCTGATGTGAACAGAGGACTCTGAAAATGCTCAGATAAACTGTAAAGTCACCTTTTTTCAAGGACACAAATTTCAAATCATCAAGCTATATGTCTTCTGCAAACGGTTGCTTTTTAAACAATGACCCCCACACAAATGCAGCTTCAGCAGCTTTACATACACGGATTTATATTAAATGCATATTAAATGAGCCTTTGTTGACCTTGAAGAGTCACAGCACATACCCGAGATTTCTACTTACGTGAAGATCCAAGTACAATTCGCTTCTGCTTGGCTTCGCTTTCTCCTCGTGGAGCAGAAATGGATGGGCTGGTCCTGATCTATAGCCCAGGACCCCTGAACCTCCATCTCTGTTGGGAAGGTCTTTAGTTGTTGTCTGCTCATGGGAGCAGTCCCGGGAAAAGCCCTCGGAGGAGATGCCTGAACAAACACAGAGAGGACCATCAGTGACACCGCAGCTACAAAAACATCAAGCCACATTCGGGGAAGTCTTGCAGGGACTCTTGATACCACCTCATTCCTTCCCTTTCCAAGTATCTGTTTAGACTCTGCTTTCCTCCAAAAGTGCTTCTCCCAGTTACTCTCTCGGGATCACACTAACAAAGAATTAAAACATATGCCCTCAGCCTCAACTTTAAAAGATAAGTCTGTAAGCTATATTCTATGTTCCCTCGTCTTGCTTACCAATCCCGGCAGCCCAGATCATTCTCATTCAGAGTAGGATCACGGAGGAGCTGGGGGACAGAGGTCAGGAAGCCTGGGCCGTTGGTTTGCCTATTTACAGGGTCACCAGTGAGCCAAGTCACTAGTGTGTGTGCTCTTCTGAGACAGGTGCTGTGTGTGCCTTGCTCATCTTCACTTCTGGGAACCATTTCGTCATGCATGGAGCATACTGGCCTTTGGTTAGGTTGTTGAATGAGTGAGTGCTGCATGAATAACAAGTTTGGGACTCACTTTTCTTATCTCCGGAGCCCTGGTGGCACGGTGGTTAAGAGCTCGCCTGCTAACCTAAACGTCTGCAGTTGGAAGCCATCAGCTGCTCCTTGGAAACCCTACGGGGCAGTTCTATTCTGTCCTATAGGGTCGCTATGAGTCGGAATTGACTCCACCGCAACAGATTTGGTTTTCTCATCTCCAGAATGAAGGTATCAGGCTAGCTCATTCTCACTGAAACTGTCACGATGACAATAGCTACCTATATGCCAGGCACTGTTCTTAGCCCTGTTCTTCAATTTCTAACACAACCCTATAGGGCAGGTATCATTACTGCTCCCATTTTAAATGGGGAAACTGAAGCGCAAAGGGATTTGAATCCAGCAAATTGCCCAACATCATAAAGACAGTAAATGCTTAAGCCAGGATTTGAACCCAGGCCATTATGGGCTAGAGGCCATGATCCTCATGCCTATACTACAGGGCCTCAGACTGGCATTCCATGAGATGGCAGTAAGTGTTCTACAACAAAAGGACATCATGGTCAAATAAATGTGAGACAGCCTGCAACCTGTAGCCCCCTGGAGAACCATGACACATGTCAGCATATTAAAGACCTTCAGACTTCTTTTAGTACAGAAATCTAACACTGTACAGAATCTACTTTTCAAGGGACATCTATTAACCTGTTGGAGGTCACTAATGCTCTCTCTACTGGAACGTAGTCTGGAAAACACTATACTGGATCACCTCTAAAGTCTCATGTAGCTCTCAAATTCCTAGTATTCTTTTAATTCCTGGTAAGAAATCTTGGAAAAATATTATGCAACCAGAGAGAAGTTAAGGGTTTAGGCTCAGCTCAGTTTTGCAACAGAGATCACTCTTAAATATAAGACAGGGTGTTTATTACACATAATCCCTGTAATAGCGTCTCTCTGCCAATGTCCCAGAGTCGGCCAACTACTTCTGCCATGCTGAATATTCGACTTACAAATAACCTGAGCTGAGAAATAACTCAGCTAACAAAGGGACTGTGGGATAACATGCTTTTCCTTTATATCTGAGTAGCATTTTAGAAGAAAGAAAATTTGAAACAGCTAAGGTTTTGCTTTTTGTTTGCTTGTTCAGTTGGTTGGTTTCCAATCACACTTCAGAGGGAAAGGTGATGCAGGTCAAAGTGTCTCTACGGTTGCCCTCTGGCAGGATGTCCACAAAACACCTTTCTGTGGCCACTGAGAAAATGAGGCTGCATGGCCTCATACATCTACTCTTGCCTCTGCAGACTAGGGTGTCCAGAAGGTCACAGCCAGTCTCTCTCTTCGCCCTGGCCAGGTGCATCAGAATGATTGCCATTTTCAGTCACCTGGTTTCCCCGCTTCCGTGTGTCCCTTGGGGCCTCCTGTCTCCAGACAGAACGCCTCTTGGGACTTCGATTAGAGCCTCATTCTGTTGAGCATCCCAATCCTGCTCAGAAGACACAGAAAAGATGACCAAACGAATCCGGGAAGGAGGCACCTTGCTAAGCACCTCCACTTTAGCGTCACGGTGACCCTGAGAAGAACGTACTGTTGGTCATGCTTTAACAGATGGAGCAATTACAGCTCAGACCTCTTTTAACTTCTACCAATATGGTTCGATGCCCTCCTGGAATATTTCTGCTCATATCTGGCAGGAAATAAACCTTTGTATTTATGGCATACTCCTACCAGGCCACCTCATCTGCAGAAACGTACTGATTTCTAATCATATCCCTCACTTGAAATCCCTTCCACTTATCATTTTTATTTTGGAGGAGCTGTTGGCTTTGGGCAAAATTTACACAGATTAGCCAAATAATAGAAAGCAGTATAATTACATCACAAAGAACACAGTATACAACACAACACCAAATGTAAGATATCTGTATCATCAAAGGCACATTGTCTGGTGAGTGTGAACTCATCATTTAGGTAGAAGAGAGTAATGTTGTTGTTGGCTGCTGTCGAGCCAGCCCCCGACTCATGGTGACCCCATGTGTTACAGAGTAGAACCGCTCCATAGGGTTTTCTTGGCTGTTATGTTTACGGAGGCAGATCTCTAGGCCTAATTCCACAGAGCCACTGAGTGGGTTTGAACCACCAACCTTTCAGTTAGCAGCCAAACCTCTTACACCACCCAGAGAGGAATAAGTCCCCATAATAACAAGGATTTGGGGTCCTTAGATAAAGCAGACATGCACACACAAACACGCTCACCCACCCAACAGTGGCTATTCAACACTGCACCAGTGAGCTGAGGTGTACAATCCAATTCGCTCTTGATGTGGAGGAAGACAGTGTAAACTTTAAGCAGAAACAATGAAATGTGACTTCATCTTGGAAATGGTTTTAATGTTAAAGGGCCAATTTCTAATACCTAACATTTAACCAGACAATATCCCTATGAAGGAAACACACAAGGTAAAACCATGACATGTAATGATTTTTGGTAAGAATCATGACAGGAAATGACCAACGGCAGAAATAAGTAACATATAAACTGTTATTCTCAAAAGTCTGACAAAGTACGTTAGCACATAGGACATATTCACCATTTGAAAGAACAGAATAGATGTTTGTTAAGTAAGTTTTTGAATAGATTTTTGGAGTGTTAGACTTTCATTGATCACTTTGTGAAAAACTTTTAATAAATGCTTATCAATTTAATCATACGTCTATCCCTTTCATGTGCCTGTTAGAACCAAAATCTGTTTTTACTCAATATCTTTCGGTTATTTGGTTTCCCAAAGACAATTCAACAGCTTCATCACACGTACACAGACAGGTTAATTCTACACCGACCACTGTTAATGCGACATACAGCAAAGGCACAGTAAAGGTGGGGTGACTTACCTGGGGACCACTTTGAAAGTCTGTGCTTTTCCCAACCACTCAAACGATGCGTCGCACTTCCTGATGCTAACCTATAACATCAGACTGAGGTTTGGCCGTCAATGATCAAAACAACAGGAGCAGACAGAAAGAAAAGGTGATATGCCATTTAACACTGCAGGCAGTGTCCACAGCTCATCTTTCCAAGATGGAATCTGTACCTCTCCCTGTGGTACACTGGATTATTGCTGGCACTTCTTCACTCCCTCCCTGCACTATGATTATGCAAACGAGGCCTTTTCCATTTGCCTTTGTAGCTCCTCCCACTGGATGGGGTATTGTAAACTTCCCCCGGCCCATGGATACTGGGCCTGGCCGTTGACTTGCTTTAGCCAACTGAGCGTGAGCAATGTGACCATGTGCCAGTTCTGAGCCAAGGCCTTAAGAGGCGTGTGTTTTCATTCCCTGCTGTGTGCTTCCGCCATCTCCAGGAGAAGAGCACATCCTGGGTAGCCTGGAATTCCACAAACAGAGCAGATCCAAACACAGTCCTGCAGCCTGGAGCCAAACTCAGCTGAACCCAGACAAAAATGGGTGAACTTTAGCCAACCCACAGGTCAGTGGGAACGAGAACAATAAATACTTGTAAGCCATTGAGATTTTGGGTTTCTTCATTGCAATAACTGCCTAATACACTCTCTCCGCATCCGCCTTCACCGGAAGCATCATAGCTTTAAACCATTTCAGCTGAGAGGCCTTAAAGAATACAATATTGTTGTTTTGTAATATGTACTGAAAACAATTCTTCAATGTATAAAGTTTTGAAAAATCAAGTGAGAACTTACAGCATACCTATTTCCTCATTTATACCAAGACCCACATGCAAGCTACCTTTCATAAAAAAAATTAAACTTACTTACCAGGCGTTCCCTTTCATCATCTAAACTGTATATATAGAAACCCTTGTCTAAACAGAAGTTTGTAAACATACTATATAATCACATCTGGACAAAAGTCCCTACGAAACAAAATTACGGTGCCTTTCTAGCTTTCTCCTCTAATTTTCTCATCATACCAATCCTTTGCTTGACAGCAATGATGAAGTGGCTCTGCCTTTAAAAGAAGAGAAAATAAAAAAAACCTCAGCCTGAAACTCTCCTGAGTTTTAACTCCTATGCTGTAGTCTTCAAGGCCATCCAACAAGCTTGATTTAAAATAAATCCAACGAGGTGAAGTCTTCTCAACCGTGAATATCAGAACTGACATGTAAAGGTAGGTTGTCTTCTGTTATGTTACTCAAACATGTACTTACAAGCAAGAGAGACAGCAATCTCGATGTGTAGCTAAGGGAGAGTGTCACTGTTAAGTACTTGTGGCGAGGGTGTGTGCCTGTGTGTATAATTATTCATGTCTATATCTAGGAAGACAGAGCTTTTGCAAAAGTATAGTCTGGGAGTACAGGCTGGTATCTGCCAATGAGACATCAAAGCTTGCCGATGCCACCGCCCCCATTTCCATTCTCAGTGATGTTAAATGATAAAATGTCACTAAACCAGCTAGGTAGACTTAATTCTGAGAAAGTGTTCTGTCTATCCACCCCCACCTCTAGCTCTCCTTACTAGAGAAATCATAGGCAGG